TAGGGTTTAGGGGTTTAGGGTTTAGGGGTTTAGGGTTTAAGGTTTAATGGAAAGTGAAATGGAAACTGGGATTATATAGAGGATTATAGGGGTTATAGTCTAAACTCCTAGTATCCCCCTTAGTAACCCTTGTAATACTCCACTATATGGTCCCTTATATAAGCCCCTTTAAGTTTAGGCTATGGCTCAAGTAAAGTCAGACCGGATTGTGATGCTTCACAAACTGAGTTCCGATGTTGAAGTATTGCAAGTCATGTATTCCCCTTGCCACTGCTGCTACTACAACTTGCACCACTAGAAGGACTACTTCTTCTTCTTCTACTCCTGCTACTGCTACTGAAAGCTACAGCGTACATCACGTCCGTATGGTTGGATTATCAGCGGTGGGAAAACATCGGGGGATGCAAGCAGCACGAATTGGCAGCAGTTTGCTCACAGGAGTTTGCACACCAAGTTCGTGACCTCCTCATCGCTCTTTGGCAACGGGGTCCAGCACGACTCCAGAAGCAACTTTCGTTCCACGTTGCGCACCTGCACCTGTAACAGCCAGTCGAGCAAATAGATAGGGGCTGCATCACAGAGCACTGCTGGGGCAATGCTGCCCTCTGAATCCGACCCTGCAAAGAAGCAGCTGCCCGTCCTATCAACACCCGCATCGAGCAGAGGAACTCGCTCACGATCTGAAAACATCCAAACACATTCTGTTCAATGCGAAGCTTAAACAAAAACCATGACTCCAAAAACATGACTCCAAAAAGGATTGTCCAGACAAAACAGTATCGGAACCCCTTGACCCGGGCGAGTGTCCTGCAAAGAGCATCCCCGATACATCGCAAGCGCGGCGATGTTGTCAACCCGCACCTAAGCTGTCATTTGGCTGAATCTCGCCCATGTCATTCCTGTCGGGGCAGCAAAGCTGCAGACACTGTGCATGAACTTGCTGGCTTGAATTCATCTATGCAACCTTTAATACAACCATGTCAGGATGCTACACGAAATGGCCTATGGTCTGAACTCCTCGTATCCGCCTTAATAACCCTTATAATCGTCTTCTATATAACTCCCCATATAAACCCCGTTAAGCAGTTTAGGCTACAGCTCAAACAGAAGTGGATCTGCTGTTGAGGACCCGCTACGCTTTGCAGACTCGCCGTCTGCTTTCGCAGGCATCGTTCCCGAAGACACTGCTCGTAGTAGTTCACATACCTTGCCAAAGCAGTGCAAGAGACATCTGTCTTGGCCAAACTCAGGTAACTCCGGCATCACAGCCAATCTACATGGCATCATAACAAGAATGACAATATTTGTGGTATTAATTCTACTACTACTACTACGACGACGACGACGACGACTACTACTACTACTACCACCACTACCATAAAGGGAATTACGTCCACGAAGACAACGATATCCTATACATTGAGTTGGAAGGACTACCGGAGTGTCAACAGCTCCCTTGTAGCAGGACTTATGAAAGAGGTTGAAGGTTGTACCAAATTGCGAAGAAGCAAAAGAGTCCCAATGAACTACAGGTTTTTATGTCATCCCCTGTCTTTTACGGAGAGGACTCTGGCCCGGTAGCTTTTATTGATGTCCCCTTCCCAAAAGAAGACTTCAGCGAGCAAGCAATCATTGTCCATCAGACCGTCAGGCAAATGGAAATACCACACTCCTTTCATAAATATGGTCTGCGGCTGTATACGTCCCCAGTGAGATTTCAAGTTGTAAATCACACACTTCACGACAAACAGATATCTCTCAAGGATGCAAACATTGATTGTTCTTTTTGATGTCAGTATTCCTATTCTGATTATAAGGGTGATCATCTTTCTATTGTCTGCACTCTCTCTTCTCCTGTTACCTTGAGTCATATCTGTCTACAAATTGAACCAATCAACTTCACCCCCTCTAATGAAAATTTCAAGTTTGTCGCCAAAACTATCAACCATCAAATTATTTTTAAAACTACCACTTTTGCGAAGGATTATACCGGGGCAGTCAGATGTGTTGGCATCGTTGATGTTCCAACTCACCTTACAATTGATGATATCCTAGCAATCCGTCATATTGATGCCCCTAATGGCCCACTCCTGTTTTACATCACCCACCTTTAGGAGACGTTTGATGTCACGTGGAGACAAGAGCCAAGGTCAAGAAAGTATGAAAATGAGGACGAACATTGGAATAACCTTCGCGACAATAGACAAATCCCGCAAGCTCGCAGAGGATCATTGCAGCCCGCTACTACCACAGATTATCAGGCGAGATTGAGGCTCGCTAACGCCTTTAAGGGAGGCTATCGAAATGCCAGCTTCCATCACTTCTATGGCTATGAAAACAACCTCCCTATCATTGTCTATGACAAGGATAAGACTGACCTCCCTATCGAATCTCCAATTGAGGTGATAGAGTTTCTTTATACCTCTGATCCTGGCACAAAACTTTACTTCGAGGGCTTCGGTGATGCAATCCGACATAAAGATGGGGAGCATCTCAACCAAGGCGATATTGGATACATCGTTGCCACCTTTCTGCGAAAAACAGACGTCAACCTGCCCTCCTTTATAAAGGAAGATAGTGTAACAGCTATTCAAGCAGGAGCATTAAGACTACAATCATTTGGGAACTCCGTTGTCATTGTTCCACTCGTCCTTGGGTATGACATAATCGGTCTTTTTGGCACTGCCCCTGATGAGTACTACACTGTCATTGAGAGGAGTAATCAACCAAATATTAACACTGGGATTGCCGTCAGTGTTCCAGAAACCGAAGCACCTTTCCTAGAAAGAACTAACACTAACACTAACACTAACACTAACAACAACAACAACAACAACAGCAGCAGCAGCAGCAACAACAACAACCATTATGTAATCATGGGGGCCCTAAAACAGCTTCCGGTGGCAAATTGCTTCCGAGGAGCCTTATCTGGCTGGGAATGGTCACCCCCTTCCTCGCAGTGCAACGGTAGCACACAGGAGACATTCTTCTCCCTGGTGCTTAGTAGGGGAATGGGGGAATGGATCTCTATAGAAGTCCCTATATAATCCCAAATAATAATCCCTATAATCCATCCCCCAATTCCCTCCTGAGCACCAAGGAGACTCTTTCGCCAAGCATCTGATCATGCGTGCGTTTGTCCGCAAAAGTCGCAAGAGCCTCCGCCGCTCTCAGAGCAGCTCTTGGGGCGGAACTTTAGCCTAGGAACCTTCTATCAGGGTTATATTGGGATATTATCCCCCTATAATGGAGAATCAAATGGAAAATAAAATGGAACATGAAATTGAAACTGGGATAATATTGGGGATATATTGGCTATTGTTGGTCACTGCCAGCGTTGTAGCCTAATCGTCCTAATCAAACCCTGCACAATCTTGTTGCCAAGGAATACAAGTCTGTATTGGCAGCACTGGCACCAGCAGTAGTTGCACTACTGGCGGGGTAGCTGCTATCGTTCATGGTCCAGATCACAAGCTAAGTCTGAATGCGAACGCAGGATTCTACTGTCACTACCAGCAGCACGCCTGTATGTCTTCGCCTGATTGCACTACAGCAACTGAAACTGGGTAGGGGATCCAGGAACCCCTGTAGCGATGATGGCTACATTCCATAGCAGACTGGCTGAAACCGTATGACCAATGAACCCTACATTGCATCCTGTAAACAACCCACAGCAAAACACACAGCATTGAGTAATATTGTAGAACTGGAATCCAAAAAAGCTGGAAGAAGACATGGGGTGGGTTCGGGAAGGCACGTTGATACTTAAATCCTTCGACTCAAGAAATGCCTCAGGTTGCCACACCTTGCTTCAGCCACTGCTAACCACATGACAAGTGGGTAGTTGAGAGCGTGCTTGTGTTGAGGAACCCTACATGCAACATCAGTCTCGCCTCAGTACCTTGCACCCCGAGGCCCCAAAATGACGCTAATTGTGGATAACCACCCTTGCGGAGGGTTCCTCAACCCTACACTCCAAGCTCGTTACCGAAGACCAACCCAACCTCCAAGCTCTTAACCTACTGGTTCTTAGTAGGGAATATGGGAATATAATCCCCATGTAGTCCCTATAAGATATGTTCCGTTATTACCCACTCAGAGCCAGGCAGTTAACCCTGAAATCTCAACCCTCTACCCTACTGAACTTACTGGTTCTTTGTAGGGGATAAGGGAATATATTACGTAGGGATTATATAGGGATTATATTCCTTTACTCCTGACTAAGAACTTGTAAGTCAAGCAATCCAAGACTTCGAAACCTCGGCGCTCAACCAAAACCTGCCGAGCCTAACCCAAAGCAACACGGTAGCTTCCATTTCCTTTTCCACCAGTAACCCTGAACCTAAAACCTTCACCCTAAACCCTAAAACCNNCCTAAACCCTAGATCCTAAACCCCTGACCCCCTCAAACCACTCCAAGAAGTCAATGTAGAAAAAGTTCTTGCCTCGCTGGCAGATTGCTCCAGACCTCTGGGAGAGGCTGTCTTTCTTAGGGGTTAGGGATTAGGGTTTA